CAAGAAAGCTCGTCAGGTGAAATCAAACATGAAAACAATGCTGATTTGTTTTTTCGATGTGAGAGGAGTCGTCCATTCAGAGTTTGTTCCACAGGGTCAGACAGTTAACCAGGCTTTCTACTTGGAAGTTTTGAAAAGGTTGCGCAAGAGTTTGCGGCAGAAGCGGCCAGATTTGTGGCAGTAGGGTGACTGGTTCTTCCAGCATGACAATGCCCCTGCTCACACAGCCCTGTCTGTACGACAATTCTTGACCAAAAATGGTATAACCCCTGTTCCTCACCCTCCATACTCACCCGACCTTGCCCTGTGTGACTTCTTTTTTTCCTTGAATGAAAAGAGACATGAAAGGAGAGCGTTTTGCTGATGTTGCTGAGGTGAAGGAAAAAACGACAGAGGCACTGTCAAGCATCTCAAAAGATGAATTTAGACAATGTTTTGAAAAATGGAATAAAAGACTAGACAAGTGTATTAGTGTAAGTGGAGAGTACTTTGAAGGGGATTGAAGGTTTGTGCTTAAAATTTGAATTTGGTTTCTTTTGGGTACCCCCTCATAGACACATAGGTGATTACCATGGCACAAGGTAAATACAGGTGACTGCCATGGCAGAAGGTAAAAGGTCTGCAGTATACACAGCTGATTGCCTTGGCACAAAGTAAAGGCCCTGTAGAAAATGTTAATTTATAATTCAATATTGCATTTATACTTCCTATTTTTACATAAGTCAAATGTACTGATAATCTTCCCTGATCCATCTTTCAATTGACACATTCTCTGCCAATCCTATCACCCAAAAAGTTGAAGTTTACTGCATCTCAGTGCCAAGTCTGTCAAATGACAATGTTGCCACTGTAAATGTAAATACATTTTTTTCCTACAGATTTCATTCATATGCAAAGGGATTTTCAGTGCAGCTTGTCAGAGCCTGAAATAAGTAGAAACATGCAGCAACTGTTGATTGTTTTTCACTCATTCTCTTCCATTTCTGTTTGAAATTTATAAAGATCAAATTTGGTTTACATGGAAAAATGGTTACCCCAACAGACAAAATCCCAGTGCAGTAACATGGCAGAGAATATGCCCTAAATATACCATAACAAAATACAAAATCTGAATGCCATTCCCTTTCTTGCTTAGTTCAGTGGATACAGTTACATGTATTTAATACACATCAGCTTACACTTACTATATTTAACAACATCAAAATATGATGAAGCAAAGGCAGCTCACATTCCTGACAAGCACTTTGCTTAATTTGACCAGTGATACGATACCTTGGAATGCAGAGCATTGGAAAGCACCAGTTTTAGACCTGTCTTAGGTCAACTCCCAGTAAAAGTGTGAAAATGGTGAAATTAATTAAAACATTTTTCAGAAAAGAAATATTAAATCTTCACAGAACCTTCAGAGCAAAATAAACATAATAACATGGATCCTTACAAAAACAAAGAAAAACAAAATTCAAGGAATGTGTATGAACATTTTGTGAAGAGCAAAAAGGGACAAAGAAAAGAAAATTTAATGGAAAGAGAGACATACAATGAACCAGATCAAGAACTTTTAGCCAGGTAATGGAACACAAAGATGAAAGGAAAAAGCTGGCATGAAATCAAAAAGGAAACATTGTATGAAAAAAAGAAGAGATTAGTGATTTTTGTCAATCGAACCATATAAAATGTAAAATGTGTAAGAATATGAAGCTGAAGAAAAGATATTCTCTCTTGAAGTTAAGAACATCCTGGTATCAATCACAAAAAATACACATTTGTTTTCAGGTCATATAATAATACAAATATGTATGGTTATTCACCAATTATACCAAATAAAGTATCTAAAATATTATGTATTATTTTTATATAAAATAAGAAAACTGATACATGAATAAAGTTGAAGGAAAATCATATCTCCTCTATGCTGCAATGAAAGACAATAATGTACTTATAGCTACAAGAACATTCAACACATTCACTTGTTCACAGTTACACATTCAGCAACAGACATGAAAACAGGGTAAACTGGATTTCCAAAAGAATATTCCAGATTTTCACTATACATTTTACATGTTCTTTGATCTAATTTGAGAAGTGATTCTATTATTACATGTAGAATGGCAAGGAACCTCAAAAACTACCAATCACCACAAAACATTGCTATTCATTACATTCAGGTTTCATCTAGAAATTATTTCAGTTCAACAAAACAACGTCCATAAGAAATAACAGAAAAATTTTTAGATCATACCTGAAAGAGGTGTCCAGGACCAGGTTAAATGGTTTAACATAAAAAATAATAAGAGTATCTAATCCTCATTTACAAAAAGACCCCATAGCCTTGACAGCAAAGTGAAATACCATGGACATGGTTCATGTTAAATTTATGGTCTTAATTTACTTTTGGAAAGGTTACATAAATTTGATTTGTACGATGAAAAAGACTAATATATAAACAAAGCAAAGGCTGAATTACTAGACAAAATGACTCATAAAGAGCGTATATGCACAAATAAATGTTTCACAAAATATGCTGTAAATACTTTGAGAAATAAGGCAGTGGGCTTCACACAACAATGGAAAAGGTACAGTAGTCCTAAACTTTTGAAGGACACAAAATACCATTTTCTTTTTGTTCATTTAATAACAGGTTCAGTAACTCAAACTATATGGTGTTGGATAATAAGACATTTAGTGAACAATGAAATGAACTGGAAAAGATATGAAAGGATGCAGTCATGGCCTACTTTGAGGTACTCCCATGGCATTTTCCTGCAGGAACTGAGGAAAACCACAAAGAACATCAGTTAGGATAGGTCTCGAGGCTCAGCTTTGAACCCAAGATCTCCTTGATACGATGTCAGACAGCTGCCCACTTGACTGGTATATATCGGGTTAACAGTAAAGTCTGACAGACTCAGGTAACAGCTACAATAGAAGAAGTTAACAATGAGCTTAATCTTCTCTGTTCTGATCAGATTGTGGCAACAGGGCAAGGAAATGTGCACTAATCTGTTTAAAACATGAATGTGGCCAAAATGAAACCCATTCAGGAGACTGTTCTGTGTGAAGGGGCAGATGCAGTTAAAAATAGTACCCATGGGCGTTTAGGTAGGCATTCCATTGAAGCAACATTCAACAGATCCCCTCCACGAGATTTCCCTGCACTGCTGTGGACCCAGTGCACCATTGTGGACTTGACATCTGTGTCTGACCCAAACTGATGTCCCTTCAGTACTTTCTTGAGAGGACTAAACACACAGCAGTGACACTGTGACAGGTCCAGACTGTATTGAGGTAGGTCCAACAACTTCCAGTGCATGGAGCACAGCAGTCCTAGACAATGCTACCATATGGTGATGGGTGGTGTTGTACAAGATGACACCCCTTGTGAGAAAGCCAACATATCTTCTTATGATGGTACTACAAATGTCTCAGAGGGCTGATATAATGCAGCTGTTCAATTTACAGCTTGTGGTCAATTGCAATGTGGTCACACAACCAGTTGTGTTCTGTAGCAGTGCTGCAAGGGGGTTTCATCTGAACATTTTCTTATACAGTGCACTTCCTGAAGTGGCTGTAACATTAGCAAGTGTCCACATTGTCTGGTCTTGTAGGTAGATACCAACACTTTGGAGGATATATTTCTCTATTTTAAAGTTTGGTGTGAGTAAGTAAGGATAGGTCAGGTTATACAGTACTTAGCATGCATGATCAAAACTGTTCCTATTAGTAATTGAAAAACATCAGCCATCAGTTGAAAGTAGACGAGGTTAGGGAAGCATGAGAAATATTTAACTTCTCAGATCAGGGAATACTCAAGACATAAAAAATGCTCAATGATTCTTCATTAATTTTGTGTCCTACATGACCACTTCAAACTTGTATGCATAATGTAACACTTGTGATGTGTTCAATTTCTTATTATGTTCAGACAACACAAAATGTGAGTTTCAATTTTATCTACAACTTTGGTCTGAAAGAGTTTCCATTCTGATGTATATTTAGCGAGTTGTGTGCGAAATACACACAGAAACACATTTTGGTCTTCATGTAAAGCATATGCTACTGCTGACTTTAACCAAAATGCGGCGATAAATTTCCATAAGACTTTACAATATCATGTTTGATTAAAATTTGTTTAGTGGTTTTCAATTTGTTGCACGCAGACAGCTGAATGGACAGACAAATATGGGAAAGCTAATATCAGTATTTTCACAACTCTTCACTGTGAACGCTCCAAAAGGAATAAATATTGCCATATCTGAATTATTTTCTTAAACAGTACTCTACAGTAATATACATAATCAGAAGCTAGGCATTAGGATTATATATTTTAGCAACATTCAGATATTATGAACACACGTTTTAAGAAACATTTTTATAAATTCTTATGTCGAGGCCAGACCATATGTGAGTACTTAAAAATCCATTCACACATCCCTTAACCCCTTTATGTACCTTTATAAAACTCTTTAACTTATACTACAATCATGGACTGGTAAAATTCTTTTCCAAACTTAATTTCTTTCCAAAATACTGAACATAAAATTCAGTTTCAGTGTCTGTATATAATTTAATTGCAGCTTGATCAAAATCTATACGGACAATTATTTGTCATTATCCCCTTCACTTATGTAATAAATATATGAATAGGCTATTTTAATCCACAATAGCTATTTGGTCACATACCTTCGACTATATAACATTCTGATGTGTATCTGGTTATTAGTACGGGGATACAAGCATGGATTCATATATAGAAGTGAGCAGTTAACATGATATGTTTCTAATGTGATGTTTTCCAGATTGATATGACATTATGGACAACAACTAGTCAACTAATCCTCTTAGAATTGTCCCAAGTTTCATCTTACAAACTACCTTCATTTTGTTACTTCAGTTAACTTTGGCTGTGACGTCTCAGCATCTCTGTTTTAAAGTAGAGCCTTAAAAAGCATTTATAAGTTCCTTGAAATCTGTTACAAACCATTTAGCTTTGGATTTCACTTCTTCTCGTATCACATTACCACCATATCCTAAAAGAAAAACAGGAATATACATGTGACATCTGAGGCCCTCAATGTAGTATCAAGGTTATTGTCTTCTGGGATGTAATATCATGTAATTTGGTAGATAGGCACCAAACTTTCAGAGGAGCATGCTGCCTCCATCTTCAGGATAGAAGCATACGCAACACAGTAATGAAGGTACAGATCTATAGGAAAGAGGGCAGGATCTGGAGCTGAGAAAGAAATGATGAGAACAGACTCAAGAAACGGCTGCTTTAGCCTTGTTCAATACCGTTTCTCATTGCTCATCCACAGGCCTAGTCCTGCCTCCCTCTGTACTAAAACTTTCTTAGGGCTGCCATCTCCTATTGGCTTTACTGAAGCTCCAATTCCTTGCTTTGCTTCCGTTACCCATACCATCCCTCCCATGCTGTCCACTCTTCTAACCTGAAGGTGGGGGGAACAAGTTCCTCCAAAATGTTGATGTATATCTACAAAGTATCATACCCCAGAAGACTAAACTTTTAAAATCTTCAGAAATATATTCCACTAGACTGTTTTCTTCAAATACATAATTTAATACATGTACAATTTTAATTTTAATTTTAACTTTTACAGTTTAACCATAAATTCAAATTATGTACATAAAACTTATAAGAACACAATACGGATCCATACTGAATTAAGACACAATTCAAGAACTAATACTAGTATTATTATATGCCTCATGAAGACCCAACATAAGGGTCAAAATATGTAACATCAACAGCCAATAAAGAAACGGTAGTATATACAGTAAAACTTGGTTATAGCAACATCGGTTTCTGCGACACCTTGTCTATTGCGTCAAATATTCAATGGTACGAACTAATTCCTCATAAAGCAACTGTTTTTATACCTTGCTTAGTACGACATGCACAAATGAATCAACCTCGTATGTAACGTTATTTTCATTCCAGAATTTCTCTGATATCGTGGAAAAGTTTGATGTGTCTGCCCACCCTCACTTTCTATACTTGCTGACGTGACTGTCCTGGAAGAATACGACCGCGGGCTGCAAGACGAGCGTGGGTTTTATGCGAAAACAAGGGTGTGGGGTGGGACTGCGTGAATAGTGCAAGAGGACGCGGCAGGTTGTTAACTGCATTCCTTTCCTAGAATCTCGTCTAACAGGACCTCACACTGTCTACTTACCCTATAGTGTTCC